GATCTTCCCCAAATGCCCCCATAAAATATATGAAGGGGAGGCATCAGAGAGCAAAAGTTACTACCCATTTCAGACTCGGGCTTTGCCAATAGCAGCTGCTTTCTGACTACAGTTGGCTGTAACTCCAGCCTGCTACCCTTCTTCGCAGGATGGGGAAGACTTTCAGTGATCTCCAGGAACTAGTTTGCAATTGGGCAGCATGACAAATTGCTCTATTTCTTCTTTGGTGTCTCTCTTCATCTCTGTTACCCCCAACCCCCCCTTTTTTTCTTCCCCTCTCCACCTCTTCCTCATTTCCCCCTTTCCTCTCTCCCCATCCCTCTTTCTTCCTTGGATTGAGGCAAAGAAGCACCAGTATTCCTCGGGCTATCTTGGCAACTGTAACAGACCAAGTGCCTATCAGTAGATGCGTGGATAAAGTGGTGGTACATTCACACCATGCGATACTATTCAGCAGTAAAAAAGAAGGATCACTCACCCTTTGAGGCAACATGGAGGGACCTGGAGAGTATTATGATAAGCACCCATAGACACAGACAATAGGGTTGTGAACATTTGGGTCAGGGGCTGGGGTCAGTCTAGAAGAGGTCAATGGGGGGAAAAGGGGGACATCATAATAATAAAAGGCCAGAGTCATCACGACCTAAACGACTAAATGACCAGTCACCATGAACTGCATGGGGCACCTCTCCATCCCTCCCCTGCAGCCCATAGGCTCTGATTGCAGCATGGCTGGCGGCTGGTGGGCAGGAGTGGCGAGGCGTGCGCAGGTGGGTGGGGCCGCACAATTTTGTGTGCTGGGCCTCTAGTACGTAATACATTCAACAATAAAGATAAAAAAAATAGAGTGCCAGCCAAGAGGCATGTCACTTCATTTGGAATGAAGCCCCTTGGTTCTTCCTGATCTTCTGTGAAGGTTGTCAGCATGCATTTATACAGAAACAGCTGTGGAATCCATCACATACCCTTCAATTAAACAAAAATCGCACATCATTTCCAGAGCTGTGGGATCAATCTACACTAATAAAAGAGAAACATGGTAATTGGCGTACGACCGCTACCCTTCGCATTGGCTAATCAGTGAGGTATGCAAATTAACTGACAGCCAAGATGGCGGCCGGCAGACAGGCAGCTTGAAACTAACATGAGGCTTGCTTGCTTCAGTGACAGAGGAAACCAACGTTCCCCGCCTGCCGCTTTCGGCCTCTGAGCTTGCAGTTTGAAACATTGTTACAAATATAGAAGCTAAACAGAACCCCAGAAACCTGCTTTTAGCCAGCCGGGATCTCAGAGCTGGAGTTGAAACAGTGTTTAGATTATAGAACCCAAAAACCAGATACCTGCTTTCAGCAGACCAGGCCTCAGAGCTGGAGCCTAGCCTCAG